TTCCTTGCCTTGTGTATGCCGACTATGCACCGCTTCATTTCTATAACTACAGACTGTTGTAACATCTAAACCCTCCACAACTCCTGGCTTGTTCTCGGGCTCCAGGAGGGTTTGGAAGCTGCCCTCACTGGAGTCAGAGGGTACAGCAGCCTGCATTTGGCTTGCACGAGCATGGAAATCCCACAGCATGCAACCAGCTGGTTCAGGGCAGGAAAAAGAAGCCACTGTGGTTTCCTTTCCTTCCCTGAAGGAGCAAGGTTGCAGCAGGGAGCAGCACCATAAGAAAAAAGCTTTATGTCAGTGGGCGGAGTGTAGGGCTTATTGAGATCAAATATTCCATGAAGCCAAAAATGCCACTATTTAACTCAGTTTGCCCTTTTCATTTCATCAAGGTGTCATTTATCAACAAGAGCAGGTACGAGGTCAACTTGATGTAAAACTACTTTGGAACTCAGTAGTTGACAGAGTGCCTCTTCCTGTACGCATTTACTGTAAGGCCAACCACAGAAGCCATCTTCAAACGGCCTGAAATTAAAAGGCTCAGAAGGCAGCAGCAAGAAAGACAGCTTTTCGGTGGTCCCCCCCCCCCCCCGCCCAGGGAAATCTTGCCTGGCAGTTATTTGCTATTTGGGGGGCATTAAGCTAGGACCTTCCAGTTCTCCCAGGCTCTTTACAAGTATTTTAGTACTTTTAAAGTACAGGCCTACTTGACTGCCACTTGGTAGAGGGAAGCCTATGTCCTGCTAGGCTGGAGTCAGTTCAGTGGGAGGAGTAACAAAGGGGGTTTTTAGTTCACTGTTCTCCTTCACAAGTTCTTCTACTACATGGGCCTCTGACCCCACCTAGAGGACACATGCTGCTGGGGTTGAGGGCTGAGAAGCCAGGGCCTCCAGAGGATCCCAGCTTCTCCTCTCTTCCCCTGCTCACTGGATTGTTTCCTTTTCTCCTTCCCCAGACTTGTCTGAGGTGGCTTTTGCAACTTTGGAAAGAGCCATCAAGACTCTTTCCACTGCGAAACAGCAGACGGAGGGACCAAAATACAGAGCTGCCCCCTGAAGCTGTAGGACTGTCTACCTTTGAGGAAGGAGACTGACATATCCTGTGTTGGGGTGAGTGTCCCAGGGAACACAAGGTTACTCTGACCAAGTTTAAGACCCATCATTTTAATTCCTGGAATGAGATTTGACCTTCTGTACTTGGTGGTGGTCTCCATTTTTTTGCATCTGAATATTTTAGACCATGACAATATGTTGCCTTATGACACATCATTGCTTTGCTTGTGATTTACTTGTGTAATTTATTCTCTAATTATATTTTAATTATAACATACAACTTCTGGAGAAATCTGTTTATATAATGAAATAAGACCACATAGTGATTAGGCAGGCAAGCTCACCATATAGCAAAGTTTGCTCTACTGATAACCTGACAGCAGCAGGCCCCTTCCAATAGAAACAGGAATGCAATCACACTTCAGGGTCAAAGCTCAGTTTCCTATAGCACAATCCTATGCACGTTTCAAGAGAAGAAAGTCTTACAACTCCCAACATGGAAGAATGCTGCAAATTGTAGGACTTTTCCCGTTTATAGAGGTACAGGCCTATGATCTTAAAAGCATTTTTTAAATCAACATAGATTTTAATTTATAATCGTAAATTTAAATTTTTAATTTATAATAGTAGGCCAGCCTCTTCCAGAGACCAGTGCTGTTGACCCAGCTTGCTATTTTTCACAATGAGTGAGGGATATTTCCCCCTCCATTTCTTGATATCTCTTAACACACTGAGCCAAGAATCTCATAAATACCCAATCTCCAGCAAGTTAAAAAAAATCAAGATGCAAGCAAATCCTTATGTCCTTTTACTCAGAAGTAAGTTCCACAGAGCTTGGGAGATCATGCTCCAAAATAAGTCAATACAGATCTGTGGCTTGCTAAAAGGTCCACATAAGCAGTTTTTGGGAATATCAATGACTTCTCGAAATGGCCACCAGTCTCCATACAGGAAATAAAGCCTCTTACACAGTCCCCTAGGAACAGTAAAACTCCAGGAGAGGCCTTTTTCCACCTGAATTTTTTAGGAATAATGTAGACTGGTGGACTGCCTTACCAGATGGCTTGTTCACTCACACAAACAATAATGAAGGTATTCCTAACAGATGGAAATTTAGTATAGTAGTCCCACATTTAAAAAAGGGAGATTGAGGGCATCCTAGACATTATAGGCCAATCAGCTTAACTGATATCCCAGCAAAAAGCATATACCAACCTTCTTCAGATATTAGAGGACTAGGCTGAAAAAAAAATCTTATATGAGCAGGCAGACTTTAGAATGTGAGGGTCTGTCATTGATAGAGTAATTGTTTCATCCTGTCTCCCATGCTATCAAATTATATTGCAAATAATGGACAACTCTTCACCTCATTTATTGATTTAAATGATGTCTTTGATTTGATAAATAGAAACTTTCTGTGGGAAAAGGGGTTGGGAAAAAGCGTAACCTGGAGAATGCTCTTCCTTATAAAGGTGCTTTACTCAGTACAAATTTAAAGGTCTGAACTCATGTAAACCATGCCTTAAAAATAAGATTTGCACAGATAAAGGTGTTCCTGCTCCATTTCGTTTTTTACTTCTGTATTAATGATGTGGTTTGTTTACAGTCAAACATTTCATGTGTCAAAGATCTCATACAGATTGGTTAATATCTTCCTATAAATACAGATGACACGGTCTTACTGTCTGCTACTCAGACAGGGCTGCATAGATTACTGAGAAAGTTCAGTGCCTATTCTGAGAGAACAACTCAGTAATTATCAGTACAAAACTAAAAGTGGCAAGAAACACCACAAATGCCCTTTTATATTCTAATGAAATAGAGCATGCTTTTACTCATGCATGCTTTGTCTTTTCATCTATGGGAACTTGAATATTACAAGCCAAGAGAAATGAGCTGAAAGCAGCTGTGTCCAAACTTTGAAATGGTTCTTAAATTATTGGAATTTCGGGTCACTTCAACCAGTTGTAAGACTGTTTAAGGCAAAGGTGTTTCCAGTTCTGACCTGAGGTGTAGAAATTTGTGGCTTTGCCAATAACAACAAAACTGAAAGGGTCCGGAATCATGTCTTACATTCAATTTTAAGTGTGTCAAGATTCACACCAGCTCGTGTAATCAGAAGAAAATTTGGAACAGACGCAATCTCAGACCTGATCCATCTTAGGCTATTTATGTACTATCTTAGCCTGTTTTAGTGCTATTTAAGTAAGCTAGATCAAATAAGTGACAGCAGGTTCTGAAAAAAATGCCTGAATGAGCATATAGCCAGAAACTTGGGGAAATTTGGATTTTATTATTGTTCAAAATTGTTGCCCAAGTCATGGTTTTACTTAGAGGCTCCAAATATTTCCAGTTTTAATATAAGCAATGTTTTAAACAAAGATTACTAGGCACTAGAGTGCAGGTGGAACACAAACACAAAGTCCATGAAATGGCTGGTGAGTGCTAAAACTCATTATCTGTTAGAAAAATCCTAGAATAGTAGGGTTCGAAGGGGTCAGAGGGCCATCAGGCCCAACCCCCTGCTCAGTGCAGGACTCCATGTTAAAACATCCCTCTCATATGCATCTCTTTTCCAATAAAAAGGGATCAACACTGAGCCTTCACCTGTTTGCAAATTGAACCATGATCCAAGAAGGCAGATTCCAGACTACAGCAGCACATGACGGACGTTGCATGTATGGAAGTGGAAGTGGAAGCTCTTGGAATGCAGGCTGTATACCAGCTGCAGGGAGCATTATTGCCTATCTCAGTTTCAAGTGACTGAGGACAAGTTTATCTTTCTCTTACAAGGATTTAATCAGCTTGTGACTTACAGGGTTGCCCTTTTACAGGTTAAGGCAGCCAGTTCAAGGAAAAACCGCTGATTAATGAACTATTAACTATTAACACCTTATTGCAAAAGTTCTTTTAAAAAATTATGTAAGATTTCAGTGGGCTTACAGAATGAATTTTATTAAAAGGTATGTTCTAGGATTTTCAAACTCTTTCTATAAAAGAATTTTTATATTACATTGTATTGTTACTTCAATTTTTGACTTTCATACGTTTTGACTTTCAAATTTTTGACCTTTAACATTTTATCTTAAAGGCTGTATAGCTACTATTTGTTTTTAAAGTACATTCACTGTATTTTAGTCAATACATTTTGACTGACTGACTTAAAAGGGACTTTTGCCTGTTCAACATTTTCGCAGAGTGGAGGGGAGTAGCTGTGTTTATCTGAAGCAGCAAAAATGAAGGGCCTTGTTGTACCATAAAGATTCAACAAACTGCTCATAGAATACGCTTTCAGGCACAATTTGACATATATGTTCGCCCTGGTACCACATAACTAGGCTCATATCCCAGCTTTGACAGCCAAAAGCAGACTTCCTTAATCTATAACCCAGTGCCCTCCAGGTATGTTGACTACAACTCTCAAGCATTCTCCAGTTATGTGGGTGGGGGATGCTGGGACCTGAGACAACACGATTGTAGAGAAAATCAGAATGGGCAAGGCTGGTCTAATGCGTTTATCCTATCTGAATTAACTTTAGAGGCACGGGTACAAAATGCAAATCAGAAGTAAGGAAGTGCTTACTGAAGTACATGCTTGGAAAAAGTGCTATCCTTAAATGTCTTTTGCAAGCAAAATTTTAGAAGGGGAAGCACATACCTGTAAAACTGTATATGCCATCTAACGCAGGAAGCTTTTCGAATATCGCTATTCACTGGCTTCCTCAAATCCTCAAAGAATTTTAATTAATACATTACAAGAAGGATACTGGGAGACTGTTTTAAAGATATCCATACACATGTATCTATATACTGGCGGTCTTAGGAGGCTTCTCCAGGCTGTTGGCTCAGATACATCACTTCAGCGGCTTCTTCGCCCGCAAACCCACCAGCTATCCGGCCGGCCCCCCACGACACGCTTTGCAAGAGGAACACGTGGTCCCAGTATACCCTGAGAGTGGAGGAAAGAGCGGCGCATGTTGGGATCTGTAGTCTCCTGAGGGTACGCGACCTTCCCGGAATCGATCGTCATGAAAACTGCTTTTCCCAAAGAGCATTGCGATGAGGCGGAGGAAAGGCGTGTTTGTGGGAGGAGAAAAGAGCAGTTTTGTAACCATCTTCTGTCCGCCGTTGTTTGGGAGCTTTAGCGCGCATGGTGGGTATCGGGGACCCGAGGCGACTCCTCTCTTTTCTTCTCTTACTTCGCGCCGTGCGGGATTTGTAGGAGCGAAGCTGTGATATGCCCCGTTGTATTCTGTCGGTCTTACTGCTGAACTAGTCTCATAGAACTTGCTTTGGAGTAAGCCTGCTCAAGAGTGTACTGTCAAGAGCTCTCCGTCGAGATGTTTCTGAGATCCAGCCTACCGTTCATCACAAAAATACTGAAATTCAGTGTCAGGGGTGCACCATGATCCTGTGCATGTTTACTCTGAAGTAAGTCCAACTTGTTTGGTGGGCCTTACTACCGAGTAAATGTTCATAGGCTTGCCGCTTTACGATTGTAAACTAGATCTCATTGGAAGGAGATACAGAGATGTATATATCTTGCCCTCGTGGTGGCTCGACTTACGAGGAGAGGGGTTTGGGTTGGAGAAGGATCCAAGACTGTGTTAGAATCGTTGATGGGTAGTGGCATAAGATGTTTTCAGTTTAAATACAATATGCTGTGTGGTTCTTCCAAAGCTGTAATTTGAATGCAGATAGCCTCTGCATTCTCACATTATTGGGTATTCAGAATGGACCTGTTTGCATCAGTGCCATTCTGTACATTAGTTTGCTTAGACAAAACCCCACAGAATCCAACCGGGTAAGTGAGAATAGGAGTGGAGTCTTGGGATTTAGAAAGTAAGCCCCACTGAACTACGTGGGGCTTACTTTTGAATAAACATGCATAGACTTGAACAGATATCTCACTGCAACGGATTTCTGTATTTGGGAAGCTGAAAGATAACATGAATTTTCTTCTGTTTAGTTACCTTCTGCTTCCTGAATGGGCCATAAACAAGGTGGAAGTTGGAAACCACAATGTTTTCCAGTTTGTCTACCTCATCTGCTGTAGCAACAAAACTCTCCTCCTCTGATGCATTTAAAAGTCACAGTATCTGCTGCCTGCTAACCAGAAGGTCACAGGGATTTCACATGAAAGATGCTGGTGTTCTTTACAGGAAAAACATGGGAATCCTGAGAAAGCTAGTATGCCAGGTAACCACCACTAAAGTATACCAATGCTGAGGCACATCTCAGTCTGTTGCAGTTTTTTTTAAAGCATTTCTGTGTAGAATGAATGCAAGAATCCACATGGAGTTCATAATTTGTGGTGCTCTGCTGGTATTGGTACTGGTATTTCCTAGACGGATTTGCTTTCCATGTGATAAAGTTGTAACATGGAATTAGCACTAAGGGAATCTTTTCCAGGGATTGTCAATGCAATCAAGATTAAGATGTCTGTATCTTGATACAGCTGGCAAATAGATGGGGAAGAAATGGAGATAGTGACAGATTTTATTTTCCTGGGCTCCAAGATTACCACAGACAGGGACTGCAGCCAAGAAATTAAAAGACGCTTGCTTCTGGGGAGGAAAGCTATGGCAAATCTAGACAGCATACTAAAAAGCAGAGACATCACCCTGCCAACAAAAGTGCATATAGTCAAGGCTATGGTTTTCCCAATTGCAATGTATGGCTGTGAAAGCTGGACCACAAGGAAGGCTGAGCGCAAAAGGATTGAGGCCTTTGAATTGTGGTGCTGGAGGAGACTCCTGCGAGTCCCTTGGACCGCAAGGCGATCAAACCGGTCAGTCCTAGAAGAGATCAATCCTGACTGCTCTTAAGAAGGCCAGATAGTGAAGATGAAACTCAAATACTTTGGCCACCTAATGAGAAGGAAGGACTCCCTGGAGAAGAGCCTAATGCTGGGAACAATAGATGGCAAAAGAAAAAGGGGACGGCAGAGGATGAGGTGGCTGGATGGAGTCACTGAAGCAGTTGGCGTGAGCTTAGGTGGACTCCGGGGGATGGTGGAGGACAGGATGGCCTGGAGGAATGTTGTCCATGCGGTCGCGATGGGTCGGACACGACTTCGCGACTAACAACAACAACATCTTGATACAGAGCAGGACTTTGGGACACAGGCTCTCTGGTCATCTCCTATGCATGCTTAGCCAGAAACCTTTCCCCAGATGTAATTGTATGAACTAGAGCAATAGATGATGGGCTTAGTCACAGGGCTGATGGAAGGAGGAGGTAAGGAGACAGCCAAGGCATGCTGGTTGCAGAGATCTTCACTGGTAACATCCTAGACTGGCATCAGGTGGAAATGCAAACAGAACTGCACTGGTTTCACAGTGACTGCTAGTGGCTCCTCATTGGAAATTGCTGACTGTTATCCTGGAGTTCTCAGCAGACCATCACCTTCTTTCCTATAGGTCGGCTGATGGTTTATAGAATCATAGAACAGCAGAGTTGGAAGGGGCTGTCAGGTCCAACCCCCTGCTGTTGCAGTAGACCAGTTTACTCCATTCCACTCAGATGACTGTTCAGTTTCTTTTTGAATGTCTCTAGTGTGGGAGAGCCTATGACCTCTCTAGGCAGTCTTCCTGCTACATTTTCTAACAGTGTTTTTATAGCATTTTCTAAATTTGAATCGTTTTTTTTTTTTAATTCTTGTAAACCATCCAAAGCTTATGGGAATGGGATGGTATATAAAAAATAAAATGTGCATTGCACCAGTTTAACTGGAACCACCTGACTGCCCCTTCTTTTAGAAGAGACTGTGAAAGTGTGACTTCTTCAAGACCATCCAATGAGAAAATAAACTCAACACAAGAGGCGCCCTACTCAAACAGATGTCAGCCCTCTAGACTTCTTTGTTGTCACTGTCAAATTTATCTGGCACCACATGATCTGAGATCAGTAGGGTTGTTGCTGGACACTTGGGTATCTTTTTCTGCATAAAGATTTTTAGGATAAGAACCTAAGAATTACTGCCTCGGATGCTACACTTACTATTTAACACTAAAGTGCTTTAAAGTGCTTGTACACATTAATTCAGAAATCCTTGAAAATCTTTATAAGGAGATGAGTGCCAAAGGCCTTGCTTCAGGGGGAAGATGCTGCCTTGTTAAACGTGAGCCATGCTGCCTGCTTTCTGCTCCAGAGACCTTAGAAGCAAGGCAGAAGCTGCACTTTAGGAGGCATTGCATTCAGAGAGAAATGCCTGAACTTGGTTGAGTCACTCAAATGATTTTAACTCCTGTGTTAAATGTTATATTTAAATGTAATGCTGTTTTGTTGTATTTGGGTATTTTTGTATTTTATTGCATTGCACAGATTGTTGTTAACTGTCCAAAGAACATTGATAGAATATACATGAAATGAAACATTAATATACAATTCCCAGAAGTTGCTGGGAGTTGTGAGGCCTTTTTTCTGTCTAAACAGGACTGTACTTTTATTTTACTATTTTTCTCATCAGGGATCAATCTCTAGTGGTGCAATCCTATGCATGTTTACTCAGATGTAAATCTTATGTATGTTTACTCGGACATAAATCGCAGTTTGTTGAATGGGGTAACCTCTTTTTGTATGTGATCTGTGAATGTTGTCCACCTGAGGAACAACCCTATTGCTGTTTACACTGTCAGTTATCCTCCTACAGCATGAAAAAGGTTTGAACGAAAGCTCTTTCTTTGAGCCATTGAGTTTAGTATTGTATAAACAGGCTGTGAGAATTTGTGAGAAGAAATAAAGGTTCTACCCTATTAAAGTGGAATAAACACTATTAAATTCAGTGGGATTTACCTCTGGGTAGCCCCTTGGCTGAGGGCTGGAAACGACTGCATGGCTGCTGATGATGACAAAATATATATAGGCTTGCACTGTAAGTCTGTGTAATTCAACTTCCTATTCAAAGATGGAAAAGGTGTGCTACTATTAACATCCACAGTCCAAAAATATACATGATGAAGGAAGGCTTCTCATAATTGCTAATTATGTAAACCTCAGATTCCTATTGTACAGTATCTATGTCTATAGACAACTGAACAATGGAAAAATATATCTTACTCACTTTTAGACAGAAAAAGTCCCACAACTACTAGCATAACTGAGATAAGAATGAAATAATATAATGAATGGTTTATGTTTATTAAACAAGATAGTAATAACCTTTTTCATTAGATATAAAAGCTTTTTCTAAAAAAAAAAAATCAGGAAACAAAGGTTTTTAATTTACAGAAGTCTTATATATGCAAACTTTTATGGTAGCCTGAAATCATAAAAATGCATTTACAATACTAAAGTTTCTTTTCTAAACTCATTTATTATAACATGAAAGCATTATTTGTATTCATGGCATATTTCTAAAAATGATTAATTTGCATGGCCATTGCTGCTGTTTCCTAAACTACAGCTTTTTACAGACCGCTGTGGTTTCTTTCAGGAAAGTACAACATTCAAGAATGTTTGGACAACACATTCCACATCTCCAATTGCTTATCAAAGTGGAAAGATATATTTTGACAATTACAGGTGCTGCGTGAGTAGGTAATTGCATGATTTTTTAAAAATCTGCATTTCTTTTTGGAAGTGATTATTCTTTCATGTCTTGTGAAGAAGTGTTCTTTTACTTGGATAAAGTTATCTCATTCCTAAACATTTATAAAGCAGTATAGAACAGCTGTGTTCAACACCCCGCCATGGCTTATAAACCATGATGTGTTGTTATGTTATATAAACCCAGGGTGGGTTTTTTAGGATGGTTTATTTTTAGCTTATAATCCACTTTTATAACCCATAGCTTGTAGCTGGCATTCTTTGACCCAGAATGGACTGTTGTGCCTGTTTTCTACAGGCATGACATGGGCAGACGGGTCCCCCTCAGACCATCCTAACCCCGCTTGGATGGCTGCTGGAAGTGTCAGAACTGGTCTGCCCAGAACCGAGAGAAAAGAACCAATAATGTCACTACAGGGTAGGCTTCTGTAGTGACCGTGTGCTCACAGATCCATCGCTTGCAGAATTGGGCTTTGATGGCAGTAAACACCATGTGAAAATGGTAGACGTGGGGCAAGCCAGTGGGGCTTGCAGAAAGGAGCAATCCCACTAGTTCCCAACATTATGCTTAGAAGCGCAAAAGCCTGCTGCTCAAGCAGAGCATCATGCAAGCATATCCCTGGCAGACACACCTGTTGGGACAGTTTACAATAGACTCCGATTGAGATTCAGTCATCTTGTCATGCAATTCAGTGGCAATAGAGGTGATTATAGATGGCAGGGGGTTGGCAATTGTAGGCTATAAGGTATGTGTATGCGGGAGCAACACGGCCAGGCTGCAAGAAAGCCACTTTTCCTGGAAGCAGCCCATGGCCAAGGAGTCACCACTGGAGGACAGTAAGAAGGAAGATCAGAGGAGAGGAAGGCTCCAATGATCAATGGCTGCTGGCGATAATTAGATACTATTGGCTACCGGTAGACACTTCCAATGAGTTAGCTGGGGAACACGAACAGGACAAGGCTGTTGTGCTCGTGTCCTTGTGTGCCTCGCACAGCCGTCTGGTTTGAGCGGCATGCTATACTAAAGAGACCCTTGGCCCACTTCAGCCGGGCTCCTCTTACATGTTGGGAAAGGGTTTGGGATGAGGGTCCTGGTTGCAGTGGACTTGGTCGTGGTTTATAATCATGTATCCAAAGACTATTTGAATAATGGGAAGTGATGCACTCTAATCCCATTTTTTTCCCTCTCAGTGTCACACCAGAGCCCAGGATAATTTACCAAATGCCAGCATGCCCTAAATCAGAAAAAATAGAGGATGCTTTACTCTTGGAGTGTCCTGTGGTAAGACTTGAACGAACTGATTTTGCTTAGCAGAACTAGGTCCAGACCCCCTTGTGTTATATTTAGTATTTCCTTCTTCCTTTTAATTAAAGTTGAACAAATGACACAACCTCTGTGAAGCAACTGAAGTAAGCAGCATCTTTTAAAGTGGAGGCTCCATGGCAGCACTTTCATGTTGACAAATGTCTGCTGGTCGTCTGGTTCAGAGATGCCACATGTGGTAGAAGTCCATCTCTGTGTGACCTTCCTTACAAGATTGTGGAGGCTGAATGTATATCCCATATTTTAAAGCCAGCAAGTCGATATTTTGCACAGTAGAGTCAACTACATGCTCTGAAAATTCAAAGGACAGGCTGCAGCATTTCGCTACAATCTTAGCACCACAGGTTGCTCTTGCAGGATAGTCTTGTTTGTTGCAGTAGCAGAAACTGTTCATTCATAAGATGGCTGGACTGGGATGGGGGGCTTGTCCGCTGCGCATTCTGCTGCGGAAGGCTGTCCCCATCCTGTGAACAGAGGCACACTGCCCCAGTGGATGAGCACCTGATTGTCCAGGGGCCAAAGTGTAAGGCAAGCTCTCAGTGTAGTCCTAAGCACAGACCTTGACACTTTCCTCACAGAGTGAGTGCATCCACTGGGGTGCATAATTGGAGGTTGGGGCAAGCCGTGCTCCTTGCCCCCAGTGGCCACAGCTGCTCCAAATCAAGCTTGCCCCTGACTGCCTAGCACCTTCTTGCTGCTGCAAGGATGAGCCGTGATGTTCAGAGCTGGTTTTCATCCACAGCATTGGGTGTCCACATCTGCATTTGCTCTGGAGTGAAAGTGCCAAGCACTTGATAGCTTGACATCATCTTACACTGCAGATCCTACATATGCTTTCTTTCTAAAGTTCAGTGTAATCTACTTTCAGTAGAGCATGAGCACAACTTTCTTAGTTTCCTAGATTTCTGCATATATACTGTTTGGAAATAGAGTTGTTATCTGTCATTTCAATCATATTTCCAGGCTACAAAATGCCTTACACCCAATGGCCACAATTGAGGTTGCTTTTCTCTCTCCCTCCCCTGCCTCATTTGCCTCTTTCTCTTGTCTTCCATAGTTGTGGTTTTTTCCAGGCTTCTGCTCCTATGACATTATTTATTTAGGAAATAAAAGGTAAATGTAAAACAACAAAAACAGCAACACAGGTTTAAAAAAAAAGCATTTGACAATGTGTCATGGACCTTTTTATTGAAAACTCTTCAATATGTAAATTGTGGTCCAAGATTCATGAATTGGTTACATGAAATTTATATGAAACATCATGCAAAGATTTTAATAAATGGAGTATTAACCAATGAATTTCAAATGAAAAAAGGAACACACAAAAGATACCCATTATCACCACCTTTAGCCATTCTTATATTGGAAGTCTTAGCTACAAAAATAAGACAAAACCCAAAAGTGAAAGGCTTGAAAGTAGATGGAGAAGAATATTAAATTAAAAGTAATACCGATGACATAGTGTTGATGATTTTAAATCCACTTGGATCTTTCTGCGGTTATAAAATCAAGAAGAACAAGATTATTTCAAATTTTTTATTGAAACAAGAAGAAAGTTAGAAAGGTTTCGGGATGTGAAATAACCCCTAACTCAGTTAAATATTTCAGAATAAATGTGACTGGATAAAATAATAATTTCAAGATAATCATAAAATAATGTGGACAAAGATGCAAAAAGATGTACAGAAATGGTCTAAACTAAAATGTCATAGCTTGGAAGAATTCCTATTATAAAAATGAATGCCAACCTAACTTGATTTTTTATTTCAGATGGTACCAATCTTTATACAGGAACGGCAAAAGAATGACAGAGACTAATTCCAAAAACCTTTATTTGGAATAGGAAAAAACCAAGAATTAGATTTAAAGTCTTACAAGATTAAAAAGAAGGAGGGGGTCTAGCAGTACCAAAGAAAGACAGATGCACTCCATTAAAATTCTACAAAGAGGTTAAAGCCACTGCATCTTTCATAGCCATGTAGAAGAGGGAATTTCAGAAGGTGTGGCTTGTTGTACATCTTACGTCAGTTGAAGTTTCCTCCTCTGCACTGGTATTAAAGGTGCAGGAGCCCTGACTTTTGTGTTGAGCCACACTAGAGGATAATGGTCTTCATGCAGCAATATCAGTGATACTTGACTGGAGCCTATAGTTGTGCTCTCAGAAGAACATATCGGTGTTTTCACTGTGCCTTTAACAACAGGGGTGACAGGCCTTCCCAGATTAGTTCTCAGATTAGTTTTATTTAATATGCTTGCTTTTAGTTGAAATTTTAACTATTGCTCATTTTAATCTCTTGTAACCACCCAAAGCCTATGGGAAGGGGGCGGTATATAAAAATCAAAATCAATCCATCAATCAATGTTAGGCTGAGGGGTCTAATGAAATGTTAGGGGTAAGTCCCTCCTTGTTTATTCTGAGACATTGTGTATATTCGACCTTTTTCTACATTTCATATAGTGCAATCCTTTTAAAACAGGGTGAAGTACTGCCCAATCCATCAGACTATAAACCTTCCTTGGCAGTTCTGACTGCTCACAACTGGCTTTTTCGTCTCTGCGCAAGTACGGGAGAAATACTTGAAAAAGTGCACCTTGCTTCCCACTGCAAATTCAGGTAATGAAGGTAGGCTTACTATAAGACTGCTTGGGTGAGCATGCGGCAGCAGCCAAGACCCTGCACATGTTTTCAGGGAAATTAGGCCTTCCAAAGTCTTTGGGACCTACTGCGGTGAGGCCACACTCCCCTGTGCACTTCCTGGAGGATGCTCCCATGGAACCCGGCAGAACTTGCTTTTGACTGAAGCATGCATGCGGCTGATTGCACATCTGCAATCCAAATGCAAGCTTGCAAGAACACTGTGTGGGTACCAGTTGGCCCTACCACTGGGTTGCAGGCCAAGGCACTGGCAAGTGAATCTCGGCTGCTTGTGGCAGGCCTTGCCTTGATAACAACATTCGCAGTGGAAGTGACAAGCAGCTGCTCTGGTTCAAAGGAAGATTTGTTGCAAAAGGGTCTTAGTAACGCCTATTTTTAGGAGTAATGAACTCTTCTGCCTCTCCTGACACTTACTGTTTCACCCGTGCACTCACTTAACTAAAAGGTATTATTTCCCACTGGCTTTTCTTTTATCTAGAGATGTCTGCTCCTTTTCTTGGTAGCTACCGAATGGGTTGAGGGACTTGAGAAAGTGATGTGCAACCTAGTCAGTCTTTGGTGAAGAGGGATTTGACAGTTCAGCCAATATTCTAAGAAGAGGAGCCTTCTGATTCACAAAAGCAAATGGTTTATTTTTTTTTCCAAAGAAGTATACTGTATTTCATTTTGGTGAACTGTGGTCAATGGGCCCTTTATTTCCAATAGATACCTAAGCTGGGACACTCCTCAAGAAGTCATGACCATAAAATCAGCACAGCATAAGCTCCCACCAGCTTCACAGCAGGTATGGTTGACCTGAAAGTATTTGTGGTTGAGTAGCCAGAGAGATCTTTTTCTGGGCTCTTGCATGGAATTACACAGCGAAGGTTAAGTGTTGCTCCTCAGTTTTACTTAGAGGATAGCCGAGTCTCTAAAGTACAAGAATACTTACAAATCGTTCTTTGAATTTGGTTACATCAGTGACTTCTCCATCATTGCTGGGTTTATGTAGTAAAACAGTATACACAAGGCAGGAATGGAAAATTACAGGTCTGAAGCCTAAAAGTATAGTTTTCTTTGTTTTTTGACCTGAGAGATCTTTATCAAAACCATTTGGGGATTTTATCCAGCATGATTTTCACAGTTTATTTTCAACATGACCCGAGGGGCAACTTTCTAATGGTAGACTATAGGGAGTTTTTAGATGATTATTAATAGCTTTCTGTTATAAAAACCCTGTGTTTGTTTGTGTGGCTGTATGTGTGTATGCATGGTTTTTGTATGTGCTTGTGAAAAACAGAAAAATCACATTATAGTGTGTTTCTTTCTAGAGTCACATCCAGCAGTCTGTGCTTTTCTTTCTTGCTGTATTCAGAGTTCTGCCGCTTTCATTTATCGGAATGCTGGAACTTGACAAAAAAGTAAGTTTTCTGTCTTATTGATGGTCTCTTCTGTAGATGTACAGAAAGTAGATCTCTGTAGGGCTTGCATGGGACTTTGTAAGCCTTGAATTCTGGTTCTCTTTCCCTCAGCTTACATATGCCTCTTCCCAATGACTTCAAAAAAGTATAAGTTATTTTTTAACTACTGGTCCATAGAATAGTTTCCAAAAATGTCAATAAATGAGATTTTATCATGTGAGGAACAGTAATGTGTCCTTGCTCAAATATAAACATGTTTCAGTGCCCAAACCTCACAGGTTTACATCCAATGTTAGTTCAGCTTATGTGCCATGTGTTTCACTGCTAGCACAGAACATAACCTATACCTCTGTATTGGGGTTTACTAGCAAGGTTGGCTAGATTTAGACAGAGGCTGTGTTCACACATAATGCTAAACATGCAGTGTGGTGTCCTTTCTTGTGTTCTGGATGCACATCTTCATGTGGTTTCTATCCATGCATGGTTTCCCTGTCTCAGCTTCTTCTCTCCAGCTGGCAGCATGTATCCCATGAGCCTCCTCTGCTCAGAACCAATCCCAGGCTGCACTGCTCCTGCCTGCCTCACCTGCTTCTCCCTCATTGGCCCACATGCTCCCCTGGGCGTGGCTGCAGCTGGCTGCCCTGTCTTGCTTTTCTTCTGCCTCTCGGCAAAGCAACTGGCTACTCACTGAGCTCCAGAGCAGCCCTGCAGGAGCGCTCCCCTGCTCTGTGCCAATGTGCAGGCACCCCCAGCCTCTCTCTGTCCTCACTGCATGGGACTGCATGGGACTCCCACATGCTGCCAGGTGCTGCCTTCCCCCACTGCGGCCAGGCACATGGAGGGCATCGGCACAGTCACTCACGGCAGGGATGGAGAAAGCGCTTCCCCCTGGGCTGAGTTTTCCAAGGGTGCCCATCTGGGCATCTGCCCAGACAAGTTTCCTAGCAGCCTGTTGGGACAGTGTTTGTTCCACAGCTGTGGGGAGGGGGTGCTGTGGGAGATTGTTGAGAGTCCTTAGGATTGTTGGGGACAAGAGGGGAGCAGAGGGGAGGGTGGGAGATGGCGCGGGAGACCTGAGCTTCTCGGAGTGATGGCCCTGATGCCAGTGCCTGCGTGCTCCTCATGTAAGACAACTTCACATGAGGAGATCTCTGGCTCCCATGTTGTGCAAACATGCAAGCATTTCAACGCGCCACTCCAGCAAAGTGCAGTGACTGGACTAGAGTGCCAAGCGTGGCTGCCTCTGAGGTGAGTGCTACTGGAGATGGCATGGCATGGCATGGCAGGATGCCCCACTATCTCCAGCGCTGTGGCATCAGGAAGGCAGTGCACAGACAGAGGGAAATAGTGGCGCAAGGCAGCCAATCAGAGTGTGGTGGCGGCAGCTTCCTCTGCGGTTGCTCGGCTGAACAGGGAATTGAAAAACGGAGGCTGGAGAGTCTGCTGCCCCCGTGGCTGTTCTTGCCGCCAGACTCACTGGCAGAAATGTGGAAACCATGTGGAAAAATTGTAACTCAGCTCACACATCATGAGAAGCCACGGTAAAGTGTGGAAGCTATGACCACACTTCATCATGGGTGCTGAATTCATGCAGAACAAGCCATGCTTGCATGGTACCCAGCATGGCTTGTTGTTACATGTGAATGCAGCCAGAGACTGCGCTCCCCAGAACCATTTTGTACCTCTTTGGGGAAAGCATATGTGTACATTTGGTGCATACACAGATTTTTCCTAGTGGAGCAAATAGCACTTGTGGGATGGGATTTTCATTTTTTTTTTTTTTAAATCGTAGGGAGAAAGGTTGAAACCCTACTTTCCCTGCATTGCAATCCCAAATACCTGCACACACCCTTACACACAAGTGGCTGCTTTTGGTCAGTATTTCAAAGCAGGAGTGTTGAGCTTCCTTCAGTCTGGGATTGAAGAAGCAGTGAGGGGGTGTGTTTGAGTGGCAGGTGGGGCCCAAAGCAAAGGGGACAGGGGAAAACCCCCCAGCATGCTCCAGTTTAAAACTCTTGTTGCCAGTAAATAGGCCTTAGCATTTCAACCTCCTAGGACTGGGGTGGAGATATGCAAAAGCCAGGCACCACCCAATAGTTGGTGGTTAGGGGGAAGGAGGTGGGGCCAGGGAGAGGGGGTGGGGTGATCTGGGCGCCTGAGCTTCTGCACCCCTGTTTTAAGGAGATGGGAGTTCCACTCTCATCTCTGCAGTCTCCTCAAGTTTGGCTCTGTGTTTTCCACTTTTTTGCAGGTTTAGCATACAAGCACAGACTATATTCTATATGCCAAAACTCATACCCTGTAGTAAATAAAAGTAAACCCTGTGGGACAATCAGAAACAGGTTGGCAATGCCTTGTGAAAATGCTAGCTTCAGAAGGTAGGAATGGTCACAGTCTCTGTCAAATCCCTGTTTTCATGCACAGCCTTGCCTTTATTCTCCTGTCCCATTTATATCCAGCTAAAATGAAGTGCTTCTAATTTTGAAAGGAGAATACATTTTGAAAACTAATCTGGGGGCAACCAAATGAATTCATTTTTCATAATCACTTCTTTTCTTAATATTTCTTTCTTCATTTTGGTAAAATGGCGGTTCCTGGAAAATAATTAATTTCACAGTCTTTTCTGAACTTACTTTTGCTTGAGGAAAAAACTGGATTTGTAATATGAAAAGCACAGAGTCCAGCTGGTTCTTTGTGGTGCTATCTGGGCAGGTGTGTGGGAGAGCTTGCCAGTAACTCAAAGTACTACAAGAGAAAAGGAGACAATAGCACCAAGAATGAATGGTTTCACAAACACTGGGACTTAATCACGGGCAGTGCAACTGTCCTATAATTAACAAAATGGCTGTTAAGCTTTCCTGTGCAGGCTTATACCAACGAGGAAAAGGCACCTCACTTATTCCATTCCATTCCTCTGATAGCATGTTCCACATGAACATTTCAGACAAGCATTGCACTTTGCAGAAATAATTGGTGGTAGTGCGACTGCTTTTGATACAGGCACGTCATCTTTCCGCTGGCAAGGAAGAGGGGCTTTACCTCAGTGGTAGCATATATGCTTAGCACGTGGAAGGTCCCAAGTTCACTCCCCACCATCTCCAGCAAGAAACCTCTTGGGCAGCAGATGACTGGACAGACCTCTGCCCCAGGCTGCCTCCAGTTGAGGTTTTTCTGGGCAATCGCAGTGCTTCCTTATAGCAATTTCACAGAGAATCTAGACATCACTGGCTGCGTGTCTAATCCTCCCCCACCCCCATTCCTCAGTTTTGTTTTTCTTACTGAGGAGGAGAAAATGAAACAGCTGCACCATACCTTTTCATGGAGAACATGTGGAGCCCTCCACCTGCAGCAGCTGCCAGTCAGAGCGGACACGCCCAAGCAAGGGCCAGTGTGGCACCTTGGCGAGAGCACTGGGCTGGGGCTTGGGAGATGTGGGTTCCAGTCTGCTCTCAGCCATGAAGATCACCGGGTGACTTCGGGCCAGTCACTGACTCTCAGCTTAGCCTACCTCTCAGTATTTTGTGCAGATACTATGGAGCAAGGAACAAGGATGACGGAAGCAACCTTGCATTCCTTGCAGGAGAAAATGCAATATAAGATAATAAATTTAAAAGACTGACAGATCCTCTGACCTGTTTTGTTTTTACACATCATGGCAAACTGCCCAGAGCCTCAGCCATGAGCAATATAGAAAGTCAAATAAATGTGATGACGAAGGAGAAGATGATGGTGATGACAATGGCAATAGCTCCTGATGTCCTTGCAGGGAAAAATCTTTCAGGTCCTATTCCCTTCCCAGGGCCAGTGATTTGGCCCAGTGCAGGTTTTCTTTGCTTACTGAGATATTTCCTTCTCCTGAACCAGATCTTCGGGAACAGCATGACGGATGCAGCAGTGTCTCATACGGTGCTGATTGTGACGCACAGTACAGGCCGGTTCAGACTGTACAGCTTCCAGGCTATCTCCGAACAGGTAACAGAACTTTCTTACTTGGTGGTGGTAGTAATAGCACCATTATGCCAGTATGCCTGGTATTCTGGAATAACACAGCTGGCAGTCCTGATCCAGACAGAGGGGGAAACAAGAGGCAAGGCTACAATGGGTTTAATGGAATAGAACATAAGGAGTATAAACAGCATGTTTTACTTGGCTTTTAACCTAAATTTTGTTTCAGAACCTTCTGTAAAAGGAAATTGGGGCTCAGCAGTGCCTTAAAACTCCAGAAGAAGCATATTAAAACAACAACACGGAATTAGGGTTTTCACTGGATCTCTTGTGGACTAGGGAAATGCTGCAATTTCATTCTTAGCAAAATGATGACTCCTGATTAGGGGCAATGAATCTCAACACTGAGGACAGGTTAAGAGCCTCATCCTCTGTGGTGCCTTCTATTGTGAGACCCTGCCAGAGGCAGTGTGCCTGTGTACACCAGTTACGGGGGGAATCTGTGGCCGGGGAGGACTGCTGCAGACATGTCCTGCTGCTGGGCCACTGTGTGAGCAGAATGCTGGACTGGATGAACCACTGGCCTGATCCAGCAGGGCGCTCCTTTCCTCTTCTTCCTGCAGAAATTGACTGATAAACATCATATATAGCCAGTCAACAGCCTTCCCCAACCTGGTGTCTTCCCGATGTGGTCGTCTACAATTTCCATAATCCCAATGCTAGCAAAACTGACTGGTGATGGCAAAAGGTGTAGTGCAACCCAACTGGAGGGCACCAGGATGAGGAAGGCTCATAACAGAAGCTTGGATCTAGAAAAGGAGGAAATGTGTTAGTGCTGTTGCTGTTCCATGGATTCCTGGTGCTTATGTAGAACTTGTTGAGCGCAGTGAGTAGGGAGAAGACAGAGGCTGCAGCAGAGACTCCAGTGGACCATTAAAAGGCCTTGAGAATCTGCCCTGCCAAATTTTATGCAGGAACTCGCACAAAGCAGAACGGTGCCTCTGGATTTGAGCTAACTTTTCCCAGAAAACAGTCCTTCACTAAATGGGAAGCCAGCCTTCTGTGAGTGGAAGAAGCTTTGCACTAGTAAAAGGTACCTTTAGATCCATGCCATAAGCATTCATAATGTACCATGAAATGTAAACAATACTTTCATTTATGTGTACTACAGAAGGTGATTTTTTGAGTTTACGTTTAAGAAAAGCAAGGTAGTAATAACTGAAAAAAGGCGTGAGGGTGCAGGCCTGCACATACTTTTGCAATCATAGAATAGTAGAGTTGGAAGGGGCCATGAAGGCCATCGGGTCCAGCCCTCTGCTGTTTCCGGACACCAAGTTAGTCTCGCTTATCTTCCTGGGTCTTGCTTCTGAGTAAATCAGGAGTTCATTAGACAGCTGCAGAGGGTTGACCATATCTGTATTGTAATTGCTTTGTTTTAGAATGGAACTTCACATCTACACCAAAATAGATAATCAGATTTGGTTTTATTTTCAGTTCATGGTGCATCGGGTGGATTTGGGGCATGAATACACCTGGAATGACAAAGTTGGAATTGTGGGAAAATACCCTTTTGGTATTCCGTGTAACATTAAAATAACAGGTATGTATTAATGTTTATCGCCGCATTAATGTGATTGATTGATTTCAAATTTTGTATAAAGAACTAGTGTTCCCAGGAATTTTGATTTCATAATCCAGTTGTCATCTTTATGATATTCATATGAATCTGTTAATACTGCAATCCTATACGTACTTACTTATTGAGTTCAATGGGATGTATTTCCAGGCATGGGATTACACAAGCACTTGTATGTATATGTTTATGGGTTCGTGTGTGTCCACATTCCTGCATGTATATAGGCATATATGTGTCTGTATATGTTTGCGTGTGTGTTTATGCGTGAACATACATGTCCTGTGTGTGTAAGCATGCTGGTGTGTGCACATAAGTCTGTGTACACATGTGTGTGTGCACATGTGCATGTGCAGACACGCTACTCTCCTCTCCCATTCTTGCAGCTTTGGTTTAGCTTGGGCAAGGTGCAAAACCACAGGGCCAGGCAAAGCTGGCCCTCTGGATGCCCCAGTCTGGTCCCCCAGGGTTTCCCATAAGGCCCTGCCCCTGAATGACAGTATTAACAACTCTCCCAGTAAACATCAGTTAAAAATCAGACTGGATGAAGTGTGTACGTTAGTGCCACTGTTATAAAAGTATTAACGTTGGCCTGTGAAGGCCAGCTCATACTGAAATATCTTAAACCATCTTCCAAAGGGTATTTGTGCAAGTCTGCCAAGGAAAGCCTGCGTTAAAACATGGAAAAGCTCTAAAACCTTTCGTTTGTTTATACTCAAAAGAGAGAGAAACACTCCAAGTGAGCAGAATTGTACCCATAGTATGCCTCTGGTTCTGGCCTCTTCTGCCTCTTGCCGGGGGAGGGGGAGATGGCAGCGATCATGCCTGTCTCCCCCTCCTTGCACCCGTGATTGCGCCCGTCTCCCCCTCAGCACGCCCACGATTGTGCCCATCTCTCCCCACGCCCTACGCGATCCCACCCATCTCCCCCCTCCACATGATCGCTGGGGGGGGGGGGATGGCCGCGATCTTTGTTGTTCTTTGTCACTTTGCTTCAAATTTTTGTGAGTAAAAAAAATAGTTGCAGAACGGATTAACCTTATTTACATTGACCCTTATGGGGAAATTTGACTTGGCTCATGACCTATTTGAGTCATGACCAGAGTCCTGAAACGGATCACTTCCGTGAGCCAAGGTACCACTGTCCTTGGGTTCATTTTTCCTTGCCGGGTGGAGGCCACCAAATGGAGCCACACAGTTAGCACCACTCATAGCACCACTGTTTGAGAACAGTTGAAAACAAGTTACCTATATGTAGATTACTTTAGAGGAAGGCTTAGCTACAGGAGAACGTCAGGGAACTTATTGGACAGTGACTTTATTCTTGGCACCAGCTGTTGACTTGAAACAGGCAGCAGGGAAGTCTTCCAGCAGGGCATTTTGCCATCCTGCCCCATATTACAGCATGCCGCTCTCTTTGGGACTGTAGCGTCGGTGGCACTGCTCCTCCTGAGTAAATTGAACGTGGGGGAATTATGGCAGCACACCTCCTGAATCCCACAAAGAAGGTCGCAGCAACATGCCGTTTCACCTTGAGCCTCCCCCCTCCCCAATCGTTCACTTTGAGCCATCAGCGTATGCATTTATATTAAGTTACATGTTTAGATTTCTCTCATTTCTAAAATAAAGATCCAAAACTTTACAACCCATTGCTAAGTAGAATGTCTCCATACTCAAATAGGGCTTTTCTTCATTGTTGATAAAAGTAATTGTTGTGTAATTAGCAAAAGTTTCTGAAGTTCTCTGATCAAAGTTTAGGTTTATCCAAATACTTTTTAGAGGCAGTGCATGAAGAGCTTCTCTGAATTCAAAAGTTTATCAATCTTCTATCGATGTAGCTGTCAGAGAATTTTGGGAGCTGTAGTATGATGGACTAATAATTTGTTAAAGGGAACTCCACAGCCTTTTGCAGAACTACATTTCCCAGGATTCTCTGGGAATTAATGATCTCTAAACCCATCTATGTCCGCTGTGCACATATGTCTAGAAGACATAGATGGCTTTCTTTTGATATTAAAGTCTAGTACTGTGTCATTTGTAATATCTCTGTACAATACTTAGGGGAAAACATTGTCATTTATTATGAAATAATTCATGTTTGTTTTGCATACTGTTAATTGAATGCAAGGTAGCATGCACTCAAATCATCTGCAGCTAGAAGACTGCATCTTTATTTAGTGCAAGTTCTCCCTGCATGGTCAGTTTTTATAGCCTTACTCAAAACCAAATTGAATTACAAAGCTGCTCATGTTAATGTTGTTTTGAATGGTCAATGCTATCCACAGAAACTCCAGATCTTCTGTTTGAAGTGTCTTCCCTGGAGAACACATTTCAAATTGGGGGATTCCCTTGGCATTACATCACCACGCCTAACAAGAAAAGTCAAAAAGGAACCTTCCATGTTTGTTCTCTGAAGGACCACACTTTGGTAATTTGTTCAAATATAATGCATTATTTTATATACTTTTTTCCTAAGTGAGAGGAGAAGAACCCAAAATTCCTCATTTGCTATATACATTTCCCTGATTGGCTCCTTTATCAGGAATGCCAGGAGACAATCCTTATATAATTTTTAATGTAGACAGACATGATTTGTGTTTTCTGCTGTGTTTGCTCAAGGCACCCTAAATTTTTTGTTCCAACATTTCAGGCAAAGAATGGCATACAGGATATGAAATGTTGCTCATTGGAACCTGACTGGATATTTTTCCATCCAGACAGTTCTGGGAGGATGGTACATGTGGGACCAAATCTGATAAAGTAAGTGTTTGTGGAAAACTAGCCCGTGCCAGACTGCGATTGAGCAGTGGTCTGGTCCTCATTGAGGAATGAGTTGCTGAGACAACCCTTGGAGGTTTCATGGACTGAACCTTTTCTGCACGGCAAACATTGGGGGCTGTTGTCTCTTAGCTGGGAGAGTGGGATTAATTCGAAATTGATCCAGCAAATGGCAGGCCCCAGTGGTGCCATTTGCTGAAAAGTGAACAAATGTGCTTATTCCATGCATGATACTGCAGCATGCGATTGCCCTCCTGCCAAGCAACCCATGTCGACAGTGATCATAACGCACCAGCACTGCTGAATTAAGGTTTGGGTGAAACCGGTTTCCTGCAATGCACTTTCTTCCAAATGCAACTCTCTTGGTTTCTTTTGTTTCCCTCAACAGGGTTTTGAAGCTGAAGGAAACCGAAAATGATGCAGAGCAACAGGAGGTTACAGAAGACTTTATCATAAAGGCCAACAGGGAAAATAATGTAAGACTATAACAAGAAAGCTGGGTATACATCCATGCTTGCGTTTGCACACTATCTGTGCGGTAGAGCTGAACTGAGGGAAAACAGACTAACCGGCAGAAATTACTGTTATTTAGGAATGGTTCGTACGAGGGGCGTTCAGTGTATTCTCGGTATCAGGTTGATTTGCTATTGATGTGGGTAATTTAATTATTTCATTAGCTAATGACACTATCTGAGGGTATACATGCAAAATTTCAAATAAGTGTGATCATTGGTTCCCTAGTAATCCTCAGTGAAAGACGACCATGTTGACTGACACGACAATGTTGCAGAAAGTCGAGCACCGTGCTGTGATTAAGTTTTTTACAAAACAAGTAAAAAGTCAAAAAAATCATTCACAAAGAGATGGTGGCCATTTACCAGGACGCTGCACCTTCATTATCTACTGTTCAAAAGTGGTCAAGTGAATTTAAAAGGGGCCAAGAGAGCATTGAACACGACCCTCGCTCGGGCGAGCCAGTCACTGCCACAACAAAAGAAAATGTGAAAAAAAATGAGAAACTTGTATTGGATGATGCCCGAATAAAAATCAAAATGTTAGCAGAGATGACAAACCTAGGGCTAGAAAAACGCAAGGTCCTACCATGATATTGATGGTTGGAATGCGTTTTGAATGTGCAGAAATGATGAGCTGTGCAGAAAAAGCTGCTCCAGGAAGGCTTTTACAAAATTGCATTATTTTCAATGGAACTTTACCGCTATATTAGAGTTAGGAGTATGCACCAGGTTTGAGGTCGGGTAAGAGAAACACGGTGTTCTGGCATAATTTTGATGGTTGGAATGTGGTTCGAATGAGAATGGGCAGAAATAATGAGTTGTGCAGAAAAAGCTACTCAAGGAAGGCTTTTTTAAATTGCCCACTTTTCAATGAACTTTTACCCCAATATTAGGGTTAGGGCGTGCACCAGTTTAGGGTTGGGGTTAGAAAAACCTGGTGTCCTGGCATGATTTTGATGGTTGGAATGTTTTTAGAATGGCCAGAAATGCTGAGCTGTGCAGAAAAAGCTAGTCAAGGAAGACTTTTCAAAAATCGCATTATTTTCAATTGAACTTTACCCCTATATTAGGGTTAGGGGTGTGCACCAGGTAAGTGTTAGGGTTAGAAAATCTTGGTGTCCTGGCATGATTTTGATTGTTGGAATCTTTTCAGAATGGGCAGAAATGCTGAGCTGTGCAGAAAAAGCTACACAAGGAAGGCTTTTACAAAATCATCCTATTTTCAATGGAATTTTATCGCTGTATTAGGTTTAGCCTTTGCACCAGGGTAGGGTTAGGATTAGAAAAGCGCAAGGTACTGCCATGATATTGATGGTTGGAATGCGTTTTGAATGTGCAGAAATGATGAGCTGTGCAGAAAAAGCTAGTCAAGGAAGGCTTTTTCAAAATCGAATTATTGTCAATGGAACTTTACCCCTATATTAGGGTTAGGGGTCTGCACCGGGTTGGGGATGAGGTTAGAAAATCTTGATGTCCTGGCATGATTTTGAGTGTTGGAAACTTTTTATAATTGGCAGGAATGGTGAGCTGTGCTGAAAAAGCTACTCAAGGAAGGCTTTTTTTAATCGCCCTCTTTTCAGTGGACTTTTACCCGTTTATTATGGTTACGGTTTACACCAGGGCAGCATTAGGGTTAGAAAAACTTGATGTTCTAGAATGGTTATGATGGTTACAATGTGTTCATAATGGTCAGAAATGATGAACTGTGCAGAAACAGCTATTCAAAGACGCCTTTTTCAGATTTGTCCTGTTTTCATTGAAATTTTATCTCTATATTAGTGTTAGAGTGTGCATCAGGTTAGGGTTAGAGTTAGAAAAACGCAAGGTCCTACCATGATATTGATGGTTGGAATGTGTTTTGAATGTGCAGAAATGATGAGCTGTGCAGAAAAAGCTCCTCAAGGAAGGCTTTTTCAAAATTGCCCCGTTTTCAATGAAAGTTTACCCCAATATTAGGGTTAGGGTGTGCACCAGGCTTGGGTTAGGGTTAGAAAATCTTGGCGTCCTGGCATGATTTTGATGGTTGGAATCTTTTTAGAATAGGCAGAAATGCTGGGCAATGCAGAAAAAGCTACTCAAGGAAGCCTTTTTCAAAATTGTCCACTTTTCAATGAAATTTTACACCTATATTAGGGTTTGGGTGTGCACCAGGTTAGGGTTAGAAAAACTTGGTGTCCTGGCATGATTTCGATGGTTAGAATGTGTTCAGAATGGGCAGAAATGCTGAGCTGTGCCTAAAAAGGTACACAAGGAAGGCTTTTTCAAAATCGCCCACTTTTCAATGAAATTTTAACCCAATATTAAAATTTCACCAGGGTAGGGTTAGGGTTAGAAAAACGAAAGGTCCTACCATGATATTGATGTTTGGAATGTGTTTGAATGTGCAGAAAGGATGAGCTGTTCAGAAAAAGTTAGTCAAAGAAGACTTTTTCAAAATAGCATTATTTTCAGTGGAACTTTACCCCTGTATTTGCGTTAGGGGTGTGCACCAGGTTAGGGTTAGGGTTTGAAAATCTTGGTGTCCTGGCATGATTTTGATGGTTGGAATCTTTTAAAATGGGCAGAAATGCTGAGCTGTGCAGGAAAATTACTTTGAATGACTGCTTCTAATGTATAGTTATGAGAGCGAGAGAGAGAGACAGAGAGACAGAGAGAGAGAGATTATAAAGGGATGGTGAGAAAGAGCTAAATGGTATTTTGAAGATAGTATTAAATCAACAACACCAGAATGTCAAGCTCTTGAGAACTCAGCATCTCCTTTTGTGCTATAAATATCTTGCAAGATGAAAAGTGGCTTCTCCAGAGTGCAGTAGCTGTTCGCAGCATTGTTGCTACAAGAGTTCAGCATGCAGTGTTGACTTGAATGCTCCTGAATGCTTTGTTATCATGTTTTAAATCTTTCAGTAAAGATACCTAACAGATCTAATGTCTGCATTTGCCTGGTGTGCTGTGCATTTTTCAACCTTTTTTTTCACATTAAAACCTCTATACCTACAGCAACAGTATGGTTTTTAAAAAAAAACAATAATCCTGAAATTGTGTAAAAAATCTATGTTCAACTAGAAGTAAAATGAATACTTCACTGGCCACCGCTATTTTCATCTAATTTTTCCCCTCCCCTGCCCATATTTTTAATCTCCAAGGTTAACAACTCTGTGACAGTAACAGCCTCTGGACGAGTGGTGAAGAAGCGCTTTAATGTATTGGATGATGACCCTGAACAAGAGGTAACCTGAACCAGGAGGCAGTCGGCAAAAATCTGCTCTCGAGTAAGGCAGCCAAGGAAGAGAGCTGCACTGGCTTTGCGCAGCTTGTGTGCGCATGGAAAATATTCCTTTGTCATGCACACAGCTGTGCACAATAACCTGTTCATTTAAACGACTTGCAGCGTATCGTCTGAGTTTAGTTGAAAGAGAGAGAAAGCATAGTTACACCTTTCTTCCCTTTTCTTTCTGTTTGATAGAACAAGTCTCCTTTGTTCCTAGTTCACTAGTGGCCTGTGATTCGCAGTTTACTGCCTACAGATCCCTGGGAAAATCCTTTTTTCTACCAAATATACAGTGGTTGGGTTTACCCTGGGCATTAAAGGGTGCCAATCTAGTGAAGTTTTCATAACTAATAGCTAGTGAAGCTAGCTCTGTGCTGAACAGTCTGAAGGGAGGCACAGGGAGTCAAACTAGCTGGTGAAAATTTTGACTACCCAGTATAATGAAACACTGCATTGCCTGCAACTGATTTGATGCTGTCTGCAAGTATTCAGTTTATGAAAAGATGGTAAATAACCCATGGAAAGCACTACAGATCTGAGCAGTGTGCCCCCTGCATCATTAGCAACTATTTTTGGAAACCATTTTTCACCCTCCATCAGAAACTGTAGCTGAGATGACACAGCCACAAGAATTCTAATTCCTCAGCTTCTGGAAACCATTTTCAGCCTTGTTTCCATGGAAATGAATATTGTCTAGGCAAAAACATGGCAAGGGTTCCTCCATGGCCTTTAAAACCAGTCGCTCATTTTTATTCAGTTACCAAATTGAGAGAGAAAGAGAATGCATAGGAGGAATATTACCCATCGTATGCCTCCTGCATGGCATTTCCAAGCTTTTTCGTTGGAAGCGTTTTTGTTTAAAATATTTTGCTGGATATAGTTCATAGGATGAATCCAAACATTTGTTCCATTCTTCATTTCAGAGTAAAATAACAGTTGATCTTAAGGGGGTGGAGTTCTCAAAGTTAGGGCCCCTGTTCACTATATTACTTGCTTCTATGGGAGCTTCACCATGGCAGGTCCAGCTTCAAGGGTAGGCATGTTTGAGTGCCTGCCAAGGTCCCAAATCTCTGTAGGGGCTCACCAACACGAGCCCCCAGGACTCTGCACCACAGCGGCCTGCTTGTTCACCTGCCCTCACTCTGGCCCAGGCAAGGCTGGTCATGAGAAGGAGAAGCAGCAGATGCTCCTGCTGACGTGCCCCCCGGAGCAAGCAGGGGCATCGTTCACTCCCGAGCTCTCGGCTTGTCAAGGAAGCCAGTGGCAGCAGCAATGAAAAGGGGGGTGAGGAACAAAACAGTGGGAAGTGGTGGTGAGAAGTTAGTGATGAAGACCACCCTGATGGTAGTAGCCTCATATTCTTCTTTGCATAGTTGCTTAAATGCATACTGTTTTCTCAGGCCTTATGAATCAGTGGGCAAGCAGACCTCTACCCCTGCACATTTATTTATTTATTTATTTATTTATTTATTTATTTATTTATTTATTTAAAGTTTTCTATACCGCCCCATACTTAAAAGTTGGGATGGTTTACAGCAAATTAGTTCCCCCCAAAAAATAGAATAACAATAACAATTGGCCAGCATCTAATGCTAAAATATAAACCCACCACTAAAACAATTAAAATACTGGGAGAATAAAAAAGTTTTTGTCTGACGCTGAAAGGCCCGTGCCCTTCTAGTTCTGCTTTGCTAAGCTGGAAGGACACAGGCCTGCAACTGGATGGGTGACCACACAGGGAGGCAAAGCAGCAGGCTGGACTTTATGGCTTCATAGGCTCCTTCCGACTCTGCTGCTATGCTATGCTGTGCTATGCTCTTTATCTAATAATGTATATGTGGGAGCTGAGATGCAGGTATGGCGCCTACTCCCAAAGCAGCTGCTCTGTGTTTCAGTAGCGTCCTCTAGATGTTGCATTGCAGCTCCCAGGGTCCCTCGCCACTGGCTAGGCTGGCTAGGGCTGCTAGGAGTGGTGGTCCAACAACACAACTTTCCTGTTCCATATTTAAATGGAGAGAGCCAGTCCACACACATACTAACTTTCTACATACAGCACTTTGGACCACAACAGCTATCCAGAACTGCCATTTGAATGACCAAATAGACCTTCAGAACTTGCCTGCAGCACATGCGGGCTGGAAAGATCACAGCCTACCAGGGGTCGCAAGTGTGATGCAGTGGAAAATTAGTGTTAAGGACAAGCCAAATTGCGTTATAGCTAGGGGTTACTTAAAATTGTAACTTAAAGTGTTTGCTACTGATCAAGCTGAATTTGTCTTCTTTTTTAAAATAAGACTTTCAAAATTGTTGACTATGAAGATGAATTGAATTTGCTGTCCATTGTGGCAGTTACTCAGATAGGAGCTGATGGAACGGCTCATCTTGACTTTCACTGCAATGAGTACGGGACACGGCTGAAAAGCATCCCTTTGGTGGAATCTTGGGATGTGGTGAGTAGACTGCATTTACGTTTCTCCTAATATTTGTGGCTTCTCAACTCTGCATACAATTGTTCATCCGCTTGCAGGGGCCATGCAACATCTAACAAACTGCAATAGAAATGTAAGGGAAATGCAACAGAAATGCATTTCTTTAAAACCCTTCTTAACCTGCCTTACCAGGCAGCTTACACTATTATCAACATGTGACTATACAAATGGCAATGAAGTGCACACACCCAGCGACAGTTTGTGGTTTTTAAGCACCAAATGCAAATGGTAATAAATGTGTCTATTACTGGCTTTGAAAAAAACAACAGACTGAAGAGCCCATATATTTCGGTGTAAATGTGGGGAGTTTCAAAGACGTAGCACTACACTGAGAAGGTCTTGTCCTAAGTATCCACCAGTCTAATGGTTCTTGGTCTGCTGCTGAAGGGGGCTGCTCATATTGTCAGAGGAATTTCCTTTCTCAAGCTGAGCCTTGTGGGTTGAAGGCATAAACTGGCTTGGCACAGTGTGTTTGGCCGATGGCTTTGAAGTCATGATCCTACTTCTCCTCCTCTCCCCAAAGCAGTGTGCAACTGTAAAAATTAAGTCTTTTTTTTAAAGAATCAAACTTCTGATGTCATAAATGTGCAAGCGGTGCTTGTCAATTTGAAACAAGGGGCAAAACTGAAAACTAAACTTCCAAAGCCAAGGCAAGTAACAAGCATAAGTTGTTGAAATGTGGGTTGCCATGTTGTCTGAACCCAGCCTCAGTAGCAAGCCTTGGTTTGTTAACCATAAACAGCTCATGGTTTGTTGATGGGTTGTGAACTGTGGCTTGTTTGTGGTTAAGACACCATGGCTTGCTAGCACAGCAGGGTTCAGACAACATGATAACCCACGTTTCAACAACCCATAATTAGTGGGCTGTCATTTTGCTGGGAACCCAACCAGTATCTAAATCATATCAGGATATTTTCCCGTAGTTAGCGTAAATGTGCCAGCTGTATGCGTAAAGGATGAAGCTGTATGCTCCATATTCCTCTTAAGCATCACGCAAGGCTGTGACACATCTGTGGTCTTTATCATCACAAAGGGCCTGTGCGTCATATGAACACATTCCTCAGAAATGAAAATTACTGTTTACTTTGTTCTCACAATGCAGACATACAGCCATGAAGTTTACTTTGACAGAAATGTAGTGCTGCACATAGAACAAAAGCCCAACAGGATCTTCAGCTGCTACGTTTACCAGATGATTTGCAGTAGTGCAAAGGAAGACAAAAGCATAAAGAAGAAAAAAGGGGAGAGACGGTTTTGTAAAAAACTGGGGAGAACTTTTGAGTATTTTTAGCATTCCACCTGTTTTAGAGGCTTAGCCACGGACAACAGTGAAAGCCTTATAAGCCTGTTTTTTATTAATTAATAACCAGCTTCATCTGTGTAAATGTAAATATGTTAAAACGATTGATGCACTGTAGTATTTATTTGTTATTCTCTAACATGTAATTGCATTTCTTATCTGGGCTTTTAGAAAAAGAAGGCACTTTCCATTTAGGCCAAGATACTGTTTGGAAGAGTACGAAAGCTTTTGATAACTGTATTTATTTATATATTCTTTTAATATATATCTGTGTTCTTTAAGCAAGACCCCAAAGAAAAATTCAACTACTTTTTAATAAACAAGTGCTTTCCAGAGCAAGGTTATAGTTAGGCATTATCTAACAGAAATGAGGGGTGTTCTCTATCATGGCGGTTATATAATGGCCTAACATGCAATTATTTTCGGCCTGTTCCAGCTGGGGGCAGCGCTGGCTGAGAGGGTGGGCTGATGGCTCAGTGGGGCAGAGGGGAGGCACAGAGGCAGTGGCCACAGTTCCTCCCTCTCTCAGATGACCAGGACCCCGCCTGCAATCAGAAAGACTGCTGGGTGCCACTGCTGTTGCTGTGTATGCTTGGAAAGGGGCCCCTGTGTTTACAACTAAAAATGTTATCCTGCAGTGTGCTGTTCATCAACAGTAAGGACCCAAAAATTCAAGCTGGCTGTTCATCGTCCTATTGTACGAATTTGGCAGGATCGTGTGTTTTCATTCCTAGATTTGTTTAAAATGGCTTGGTGCACCGTTCCTTTGAGCATTTTCTCTTTTAGCCATGACACAATGGAGGAAGAATATCTGGAAGGAAACTTCATTTCAGACAGCTGTTCCTGGTCATTAATATATGACTTCTTTCTGTTTTTAATACTTTATTGAGAGTGTTCCATTCATTTCAAACGTAACAGTTTTTCCCAGCTATTCCTCCCAAACATTGCTTCCATCTCCTATGTGGAAAATGCTTATTTACCAGTAGGTAATGAGGACGGACATCACTGAAAGCAGCACTGGAAATGATATTGTAACATAAGTGGACATTAGGCAAGATACGACCCACATATCTGCTCCAAATGTCTCAAGAAAGAAAGGCTTCAGACCCTCTGAACAGTGTTGCTACTGTTCTTCAGGTATGCTAATAGCACACCTTTAGTTTGTATACACCTCAGAGAAGCTGTGTCAGATGTCTCCAAGCCAGCAGGGGACAATCTGATGTCCCTTCTCCATTTGTTTTGGACTATGACACCTGTGATCCCTGACCATTGGTGGCTGAAGTTGATGGGAGCTGAAGTACAAAACATCTGGAGGACCCCAGATGGCCTACTCTTGTTCTGATCAGAACTTGCTTTCATGAATGACTTTTAAAATTAAAGGACAATACAGAGATGGGTTTCATAGGGCATTTCAGCAGGCCTTTAACCTCCTTCAGGCTTCAAGTCCTCGATAGCTGATGTGATGAAAAGGCTGCAGCATCATATCATCAGGAGATGAATTGTATGTTTGGTAACTAGGCAGTTAGCGATATCTAAAGATCTTGGAGTAAATGACCTATTTTAGAATTAACTCTTTTTCATTCTAGCACAGAAATTGGTGTAGCTCTACAGTTGGCAGTCATACCCTTTGACGATGTTTCTAGAATGAGACAGTTGTCATAATATATGGCCAGTTTCTGTTCCCCCCTGTGTCCAGAAGCTTGAGGGTATCTGTTTCCTGAATGGCATTTTGCCCTGGCTGGCACAGTGAACTTGAGGGCAACCAAGTCCCCTCAAGTTTTTGACATCTTGAAAGTACAGGTGCTCCCTAATAAAGCTGAGGATTGCTTTTGTCACAACCTCTTGCTTTTCACCAGAACAGTTTTCCACACTTACTTTTCTTTTGATATTTCACATGCACAGAGTAACACCTGATCAAAAGTTCCCCTTTCCTCTAATGACATTTTTAAGCAGGTTCAGTGATCTCACATTAATGCAACGTGTTGGACTACAACTCCCATCATCTCTACCCAGATGGTGGTTGACTACTATAATGTTCCGTTTCTCATCTTTCATCAGTAAGTAGGCCTATATATTCCTTTGAAATCAATTGGGGTGCAGGGAACAAAAACGTATAATCACTGGAAACTGACTTAAGTTCTTGTCACAAGTCTCTAAATAAATGTTTGTTGCCTAAACTATAACAATATTAACAGTCTTTACAGCATGCCAGTATACATGTTTAAGGCAGCTAAAAAGAACAAAATACAGTTACAAATGTGATAAAACGACACACTATCCAGGTGGGAAGCAAACTGGTTTTTTTGTAGCTATTGCTGCAAACACTGCTACCTTGCACACAGTTTTAACATTTCCATCTTTTAATAGCATAGCAATTTTTTAGCACAAGCCAAGTGGAAGTTTTGTTTGGATAAGTAAAAACATGCAAAATGGCACCCGACATGACAAGCCCTCCAAGAAAATTAAGGCGCAGCGAACTGTCGTGTCCCAGGAAGTCAGTGGCTGCCATGTCCTACATCGGCGCACAGCCCAGGAGGGGAAAACAACATGGAAAACACAAACATGGTGTAAAAATGAGCCTGTGACCCCACTAGTGCTCCCCAACCAGGGCCAAAATGGGGTATCCAGTGAGTTCTTGATTAATGCCAGCCCACTTGGCCCCCCATGTCACCTCAGTGCCACCACCAGCACAGTGACCCTGGACGTGGCCGCCCGCAGGCAGCCCCCTGGCAGGAGCTGAAGCCTCCTTTCACTACTCACATGAAAAGTGAGACCATTCAGTGCACTTTCTACTACTAAACCTTACATTCTGCATAGATGATTAATTTAAAAAATTAATTAAACAGTACACATAAAATTTATACGCCAAGTGGATGTTGCAGCGGTGTTAGCCAGTCTTTCCAGTCTGTGGGTGTCATGCCTTTAGGTTTGTCCTAACAAATTTTGTAAAGTCTCTTGGAATCTTCCTTGGAAAATTATTTTTAAATAAAGGTGCTCGTCCTTTCACCCTTAAATGGCACTCATGTTTGCCTGAATTAATGTATGTTTGCTTTATCTGTAAAATCTCTCATACTGCAAATGACAAAGAGCCATCTGGCCATTCAATCCATTAGACGTAGTCCAATCAGAACCTCTGCTGCAGAAGGTGAGTTTCAGTGAATGGAAATTACAGGTTTATAATCCTAAAGTACTTGATTATCCCGTTAAAGTGCAATCCCATGCATGTTTGGAGCTAGCGAATGGCTAGCTGGAGCGTGCTGGGAGGTGTAGGGCTTCTGTCGAAGCATGTGTCAGATCGCACCCTTCCAGGCTCACAGATCAATCAGCTAAGGACGTTCAGTGTGCCAGACACTGCTTTGCACCTTAACTGATCTCCAAGTGGTCCAGGCTTGCTAATTAATTGAAGAGGCGCAGTTAAAAGGCTTGGTGTAATTTACTCTGCCTCTCTTTGCTTGGTGCATTTTTAGGGCCCCATATGTATTATTGTGTTCTTTGGCAATTGTGAGCTTGCATTTCATGGTGTGGAATTGTGGTACTTGTGCGTCAAAGCACAAGTAGCCTCTGAGCTATGAGACTGAGTACTTACATAGCAGATGTCGTGCCATGGATGTGCTTTCCTTCCTATCTTTCCTAGCCAATGCAAATCAGAGATAATTTGGAAATCATACTCTTTGAATTATTCAGGATGCTCAATGGTAAGTAATATGAGAGGAAGAGAGAAATGCTGAAAGCTTCCATATGGTCCCCATGGAGAGGGAGCTTTCTCAACATCAAAGAAAAGCCTTGATGTGAGGAAGAATGAAGGAAATTATTCCTAAAAATGTGTATAAGCTATCAAACAGTAAATAGCCAGAGAAAGAGATCATTTTTTTCTTCCCTGTTCAATCTCCCTGGATCAGAAGTGCTTGGAAGACAGGAGGCCTTCTTCCTCCAGGCCCAAGAGGCAGGAAATTAAGAGTTGGCCTTTCCTGAGGGATGAGCAGCTAGCCACCGATCTGGCATAGCAAGAGGTAAAAAATAGAGAACTGTATAGCTGAGGGTTTATTCTGGCTGAAACAAAAAGGAAAATAGAAGAACTTCTCTAACAATAAGCCAGATGGAAAAAGAAATGCTCTTGCTCCTTCTCAGAATGAAGAATTATCAGTTAAAGTTTCTTTTTCTTTAGAAAACAGCAGATGGATTTTTCAGAGCTGGGACTTACAAAAACTGGTGGAACCCAAGAGTTTCCCAAAACACAGTTTCAAAATGAGATCTAGGAGTAGAGAGATGCGCCTGGCATAGCCTAAGATCCTAAAAGCAGGAGACGGAGGCCATCTTTTATATAGCTGGAAAGGAACACAAGGTCATTTTTCTGGATAGAGTTATTTATGTAGGATCATGCACTAGTTTAAAGGAACAAATTTTGGAGAGAAAGAGAAAAACATGGTTCTAAGCACCGTTATTACATAGTGGAGCTAATCTAATTCAGTGAATAATTAGTGATTAAAAAAGAAATGTTCCTTGTAAAAGTATGCGAAAGCTGAACATGGCATTTTATCAGGATAAGCTTCTCCAACTCAGATTAAGGAGGACTAGAGGTGCATTCTTTAATTACAGAAGGCATTCTGCATTTGCACTCGGCTGTCTTTTTGCACTCCTTTTTGATGGGGTGTGAAGTAAATAATATGTTGTGCTCACTGCTCTGTGGAAGCACCTGCAGTTGACGCATGGCTTGGCAAACTGCTTTTGGGCTGGGTGCACTAAGGGCGTTCAAAACACCGGGCTTACTGACTGAGCTGGAGTTCTTGGCCACCTCTTCATATCTGCCAACCCCCAAAAAGGCCACTCTTTGAAAACTGGATACAGCCAGATTAAAGTGGAAGTCAGGGCTACCCAAGACTCCTACCTAGTGGAATTCGGCTCTAACCAGAAGCAGTGTTGTTGGCAACAAATTTGTGCCTTATACTACATAAGCATACATGAAGGGCGCTGTGCCACCATGAAAGAACTTCTGGATTCAGCTGGTGTGTGTTGCGCTTCCCTGGGGAAACTAGGAAGTAGAGGAGGGAACAGCCCCTGCTTCTGGCCTGAGGGGAAAGACGCCACAGCCTGAGAACGTTAATAAAACACACGAGTTTGTTTAGAAGGTGAACTCTGTGAGTTTCAGCCCGCCAACTTTGAAACGGGTGTGCTGGACTCCTGCTCGCTTTCATATTCTGTAGACGTGGATCCCAGGAAGCACACGCAACACACGCCTAATCTGGGCCTGCAAGTGGGGATCACCTGCAAATGCATAATGTCAAACCTTTCCATGAGCTCTGAGTAGCCCTCCTCTCAGAAGCACATGTTGCAAAGAATGAAATGAGCTAGACTATTTTCCCAACTAAAACGAGCAGTGCGTGTGGTGCCCTGCAGTGAGATCCAATGTGCCTTCCCAGAGGATGCACAAAACAGGAGTGGAAGGAGTGGCTGCTCCAGTCATGCCAAAGAGAAGGCAAAGGGCAATAAAAAGGATAAGCCGAGGGAGGGTCAGATGACTGCCAGCTCCAGGTGCTGGGAGTTCTTCGGCAGCATGCCCTCAATGGGCCCACCTTGGGTGAGGCCACTCATTCCTCACTGGCTTATTTCTCAGAGCCCAGTCGGGGTGACCCACATGGAGAGGTGCTGCTCCTGCACTTGGCTCTTGTCACTGCCCAGAAAGGGCATGCGATTGGACAGCCACCGTGAGGAGGAGGAGCAACAGCACCTAATGTTGGCAGTGCCCCCCAGCTGAGGAGTGGGCCTGGGGCACTGCCTGTTGATGTAACTCCTGAAATTGGACCTGGGAGGGGGAGAGGGAGAGAGAGAGAAGGTAAGGCCACGATGGGCTGTAAAATGTTTCTCCTGAAGGGTTCTTTGGTGGAG